CGGTTTTCCCTACATTGGTTATTGTATTCCGGACTCGGTTTCGTGGATGTTTGTTGTTGTATATGTTGCATTTATGTCCTTTAATTCTTTGTATTTGAGTTTTAGGATATGTTGGGCAGATTTGTAACAGGTTGGGTGTAATTCGAAACAAAGTGTTGCTGCCCAGTTTTTGGTACCTTCGCTCGAGCGAGCTTTGAGTTTGTGTCTCTTGGCTCGAGCGAGCATTCTTGCACTCAAGCGTGCATCTGCGTCTAGTTTGGACCTGAAGGTTGTGTTTCTTGGCTCGAGCGAGCTTTTCTTCGCTCGAGCGAGCGAGCTGTATGTTTTAGGTTTCTTCGCTCGAGCGAGGACTCCTGTGCTCAAGCGTGCTTCTGGGTTGCAGACCTAAAGCTTCGTGTTGTTGGCTCGAGCGAGGCTTTCTACGCTCGAGCGAGGTTTATTTGTGTCTGGTCGCTCGAGCGACCAATCCTTTGTTCGAGCGAGGCTCGAATATATCAGATCGCAGCAACAGTCTTCTCTCTCACTTTTTGATCTCCTTTTCTTCTCAAACCCTAGATCGACTCTCTCCCCCTCTACATATACCTTATCTCTAGAAATATACTTGGTTCTTGGGTGTGTCTACTCTAGTCCCTTTGTAAAATGTGTGGAGCTCGGTGTGGGCTACATTTTGGTTCAAAAATCATTGGGTTTGGAGCATCTCGAGTTTTCTTCATTTTCTCCATTGAGTCTCTCAATTTGAGGTAGAGATAACCTACTCCTCTCTATGAGTTTTGACATAAATGTTGGGTATTTTGGATAGATGGTGTTGTTTGGGAATTTTGGGAGAGTTAGGATTTGATTTGAAGTTATAAAAAATGGGGGTTTTCAATTGTTAAACTCCATGTGTATGTGAGACCTTGGAAAATGGAATTATTGTTGTTAAATTGGTGAAATTGAGCCTTAGGGTTGATATTTGAGAAATGGGAAAAATGCCCTAACTATGTTGAATAATTAATTTGGGGAAATATGAAATTGAGTTAGAAATCATGAAATTGGAAAATTATGAGATTGAATGGTGTAGTTGGATAAATAGATCACTCACCTATGAAAATGTTGATATTTTATCTGTTTGATAAATTTATTATCTGTTTAGAAATAACTGCTTTGGGCTATCGGTGGAGGATAGTCTTGATTGTTGTAAACACTGTAGGTTGATTAGGAAAAACTGAAACTAATCAAATGTGTTATGTCATTGAATATGACGGTTAAATTGTCACATTGAATATGTGCCTAGATTGATCATTTGTACATGATAGAGCTTTTAAATACATTGCATATGTATCTTGTTTGGGAGAAGATAGGGGATGTACTCTACGGTTTGGAAGGAGATAGGGGATGTACTCTTAAACCCGCTTGGGAGGAGATAGGGGATAGACTCCATTGATAACTAAGTTGGCCGGAGTATCCAGGGTGAAAGTCCCGAAATCTTAATTACGTTTGCATAACGTAGATGAATTGAAGTATTGAATTGTTAATAACATGAGTTGTAGTCTCATTCGGAATTGAAATGTCGAAGTATTGTTAATATGAGTTGTAGTCTCATTTTAAACTGTCTGGATAAATAGAGAACCATATCTATGAATTGGTTTGGTTAACGAAAAAGGAAATGGAGTTGAAACATATTTGTAAACATGGATTGATTATGAAAGAGATGGATGTTTGTTTATATGAGTTAAACATTTATCAAATGCTAATGTTTTAGTTATTGTTATATTTGGTTTAGTATATCACTGCTGGGCTTTGGCTCACCCTATATGGGATATCATTTTCAGGTTCAGGTGATATGCCACCTCCAAGGACATAGCTTGGGAGGCTTAGAGGCGGAAAGATCTTTTTGTTGTTATCTTTTTGGTATTACATGTAAATTCAAGCCAAGGGCTTAATGTGTTTTGAGTTAGCACTCTCTTTTTGTAACCAAGTGTTGGCTTGGAAAGTTATAAGCCCGTAGGGCATTTATTTTTGTTGTCAACATGTAATACTTTTGTAATGAATATTCTGATAAATGGAAATATGCTTTATTCTCTTATGTCTATGGATGTCTTAAATGTTGGGTTATATGTGTTATTTTGAGGGCATTACAAGGAATTACATATTCTTGATCTGGCAGCTGAGGAAAGGCCGCTGTTTGAGGCAGAGTTGAATAGAAGAAGAGAGGCTAAAGAAGAAGCATGGAAGCTAAGTACAATGGTGGAGTGGGTATGGTTGTAGAAATCTAGAGTTAACTGGGGTTTGAAAGGAGATAAAAACACAAAATTCTTTCATGTGATGGCTGCATCTAGAAATAATAGAAATGCTTTGTGCTCACTTTCTGTTAATAGGATTATAAAGGTTGATCCAGTTGAAATAAGGGCTGAGGTTTTGCACCATTACAGAAAGCTTTTTTTTTGAATCCTGGTTCAGTAGACCAAGTTTATCTGGCCCTTTTAAATCCATTAGAGGAGATGAGGTTAGAGCTGCTTTAGAAGCGGAGTTTTTAGAATCAGAAGTGATAGCAGCAGTTAAAACCTGTGATGGAAATAAGGCTCCAAGTCCTGATAGGTTCAACTTGATGTTGTTTCAGAAGTGCTGGCAGTCAATAAAAGGGGATGTGATGCAGTTTATGAGTGAGTTTCATCAAAACTCTAAACTAGTGCATGGAATTAATAGTTCTTTTGTTGCGTTGATTCCTAAAAATGATAATCCTTCTTGCCTCGGTGAATACAGGCCTATTAGTCTCATTGGTTCGCTTTACAAAGTGCTTGCAAAAGTTTTATCTAATAGAATCAAACATATAATGCCAAGGATTATTAGTGAATCTCAATCAGCTTTTATAGGAGGTAGAAGTATCTTGGATGGAGTGTTGATTGCAAATGAAATTGTTGATGGTTGGAAGAAGAATAAGAGGAAAGATATTGTTTTGAAGTTGGATTTTGAGAAAGCATGCGATTCAATTAATTGGGAATTTCTTTTCTCTATGCTTGCAAATTTTGGGTTTGGTTCTAAATGGATTAAGTGGATGCAAGAATGTGTCTCATCAGCAAAAATCTCCATTGTGGTTAATGGATCTCCGACATCTGAATTTAGTCCTCAAAGGGGGCTTAGGCAAGGTGATCCATTATCACCTTTTCAATTTAATATTGTGGCAGAGGGCTTGAACATTTTAATGACCAGAGCTAGGCTGATGGGCTTGATTAAAGGTGCAGTGGTTGGTTCAAATGATCTCAGTATAACTCATTTGCAGTTTGCGGATGACACAATAATTTTTTGTGAAGCAGAAAGGGAGGAGGTTCTTACTGTTAAAAGGATTTTGAGGTGCTTTGAAATAGTATCTGGGCTGAAGATTAATTATTATAAGAGTGTAGTGTGTGGAATTGGGCTTTCTGATGAGCTATCTAAAGAATATGTTTCCATGTTGAATTGTTTTCATCAAAGTTTGCCTTTAAATTATTTGGGTATGCCCTTGGGGGATAACCCAAGGAGAAGACGGACTTGGAAACCAATAATTGATAAAGTTAACCAGAAGTTGGCTTCTTGGAAAAGGAGGTTCTTATCTTTTGCTAGTAGGATGACAATGATAAAGTCTGTGTTATCATCCTTACCAACATATTATCTATCCTTGTTCAAGATGCCTGAAGGGGTTGCTAAGGAGATTGATAAAATCCAGTCTAGATTTTTATGGGGAGGTGATGCTCTAAGAAGAAAAATTCATCTAGTAAAATGGGGGGAAGTAACGCAAAGCAAAAGTACTGGGGGTTTAGGAATAAGAAAAGTGAGGCTTATGAATGCTTGTCTTCTTTTGAAGTGGTGGTGGAGATTTGGATCTTGTCTTCTTTTGAAGTGGTGGTGGAGATTTGGATCTGATACTGATGCTCTCTGGAAACAAGTGATTTGCAGCAAATATGGCGAGGTTGAAGGGGGTTGGTGGCCTCTACCTATTGAGGGTCCAAGGTTATCTCTGGTCTGGAGATATATCCAGGGGATTGCTGCTTATTGGCCTCAGTTGGTGGAATTCTTCAAAAATAATATCTTCCTTATTGTTGGTAATGGAAGGAACATCAAGTTCTGGCTTCATAATTGGGTTGGTAATGTATGTCTCAAAGATGAATTTCCAAGACTATATTTTGTGTCCCTCGACAAAGATGAATCTGTGGAAATGGTAAGCAGTAGGAGAAATGGAAATGAAGAGTAGAAGCTGGTTTTCAGGATAGCCTTGTTTCAGTGGGAATTAGAAGAATTAAAGAGACTGAGAATAATACTTCTTAATGCTCCATCTATTCGGGATGGGATGGTGGATAGGTTGAAATGGAATGCAGAAAATTCTAGGGTTTTTACTGTGGCTTTTGCCTATAAGTGGAGTGCAGCATCTGTTGAAGCTAGTACTAACTTAGTAGGGTGTATATGGAAGAATTTGGCCCCACCTAAGGTGCAGTTTTTTGGGTGGTTAGCATGGAAAGAGAGAATTAAGACAGCCAGCTATCTTCAAAGACTAGGTGTCCTTACTGCTACTTCAGACATTAATTGTATTTTCTGCAAGGATAAAGTAGAAGATATAAATCATGTACTGCTGTTTTGCCCATTTATTTGGAGGATTTGGTCAAATATTATCAGTTGGTGGGGTGTATATTGGGCAATGCCTAGATCAATGTCTGGTTTGCTGCAGTGGTGGACTGGATTAAAACTAAAAAAAAAGGAGTTACCCATTTGGAAAGCTATACCATTGGCGGTGTTTTGGTCTATTTGGAAGCAGAGGAATGAAAGCATTTTTAAGGGCTTGCAGGTGAATTTTGAAGGGCTATGTGATTCAATCAAGGTCAGGGTTACTTTACGGGTTAGAACTTCTAACCCCTCTTTTTTTTACTCAATTAATGATATTGTGTATAATCTAAAGCAGGTTAGATTATGTCTGAGGAGTTGATTTGGTCTGGTTTTAGGCTTCTGCTAGGGGAGTTTTTTGTGTGGTTTAGGCCTGTTAGATTGGTCTTGATTTTTCTAGGGGGGTTTTTTATTCTTGTTAACCAACTTTGCACTGCTAGGCTGCTGTTGCTACTGGTATTGCTGTGTTGTCTTCCTGTTGCTACTGCTGGAATGGTGTGGCAATGTTGTTGAAAGGCTACTATAATGTCTCAATGAGTTAATTAAAGAGCTTTGATCATCATGGTCTAATCAAAGGAAATGGATTCTGCATTTTGGTCTGATCTCAAGTGTGCCCTGCATCTGGTCTGAATGTTTGCTGTTATGTTTTGATTTGTTTTGTCCGGGGATGTTTTGCTGGGTTTTTTGCTTTCAATGGTGCCATATGGTTTGATCTGATTCGTTTGTCATCATCAGTGGGTCTGCATCTGGGTTATCATTAGTGTGTCAGCATCAGCTCCACTTCAATGGTGTATGGTTTGCACTCAACCATCTTTGCACTGCTGGGCTGCTGTTGCTACTGGTATTGCAGTGCTGTCTACATGCTGGTTCTGAAGCTGCTGTAAAGGGGCTGCTCTCAATGGTTGTGATCTACCTTCTATGCTTGGCTGCTAGTTGACTTGATTGATGTATGTTGCTGCTTTGAGGTCTGCTGAATGGTGCTCAGGTCTGATGCTGTATGCTACTAATGTATGATATTGTGTGGCTGCTCGTTGACTTGTTGTTGGTAGTTTTGGGAAGCAGGGGAGCTGTATTTGTATGGCTGTTAGTTGTTTTTCAGGAGGCCAAAAGACTTGTTTCTCTGTTGCGGAGCAAATTCAAGCACAAACTCAGATTTGGGTAGATGCTAGTGTATTGGCTGGGAGGGTATGGTGGGGGTATGCTGCTGGGAAGCAGAGGGCAGTTTAGCTGGGATGCAGAGGGTAGTTTGTCTGCTGAATGCTTCTGGTGTTTGCTGTCTTAGAGTGTATGCTGTAGGTGTATGTTGTTTTATGGTGTATGATGTTGAATTGCAGCAGTACTGCTGTAGGCTGTTTTTTGTTGTTGTTGTTTTTTTTTTTCTTCTGTTTTTTTGGTTCCTCCCAAGGTTTTAAAAAGCGGCCGCAACTGTTACGTAACGCCGTTACGTAACGGTTGTGGTAGTTATCGCCACCCATTATGGCTGCTTTTGCAATGTGATTAAGATTCACAGGTGTATCGGCCGTAGCGGCTGCTATAGCGGTCGTAACGGTGCTGTAACGGTGCTGTAACGGCCTGTTACGCACCGTTACGTAACGATTCCAAATTGCTTCTTTTGAAAAAAACGTAAAAAAAAAAAAAAGTTGAAAATTGGGGAAGAGAGATAGAGAGAGAAGAGAGAAGAGAGAAGATGGAGGAACAAGAGATAGAGAGAGAGAATAGGAAAGATGAACATGTTATTGATTTGTTGAAGTTGTAAGACCTATACTATTCTATTCAGCTGCTATTACTCAACCATTTTGTTTGTGTGTGTCTATCTATATATTAAATAATAAGTGTGGTCATCATCTATTTGGCTTGGTTAAAATATGTATATGTATATATATTTAGACTCTTATTTATTCTCTTACTTTTGTCATTGTTTATCTTATATATAATAGTTAGTGATTGATTTTTTGTATAATATAAAGTCATTAATTATTAAAATAAAATGTAAAAAACTCAGTTTATAGTGATTTAAAAATATAAAATATATTGGATCAAACTTAAAAATTTATAAAAATTGATCAATATTTATTTTAAAACCCAATAAATATGATCATGGAAAAAAAATGTGCGTATCGGTAAGTTTTTTTCAAATTGTGCGAAAAATTAAAAAATTCACGGTTCCGCTTACCGCAACCGTTACGCTATAGCCTTTACATCCCACAACTGCAACCGCGTCACTGCCACCGTTACGGCGACTGCAACCGCTTTTCAAAACCTTGGTTCCTCCTGATTGGCTTCTCACCAATCTTTGGGTTAGTGCTCGCATTTGCACTTTCCATCTTTATCGATGTAAGTTTTAGCATATTTTGCTTTCTTCATTAATAAAGTTTCATTTTGTTGATCAAAAAAAATGTGTGACTGTAATGGTGAAGATTTTGTATACGAAAATATTTCATCAAATTCTTCTTTTACTATAGCAACACAATCTAGAAATTCTTTAGGTTATAAACAAACCTTGAACTCTAGTATGTTAAGCCTGTAGCCCAACTCCCATCGATTGGATGCATTGTTTGCCACTTGACATCTCCATTGTGGTTTGTATAAACCAATCGGATTCGTGTCTTCATCCTCGACATCACTCTCATACTCCTCCACAAATTGTGAATTTGGTTGATGGTTGCGAAGTCAGTTTCTAACGTCCATGGCTTCGAAACGCTCCAATAAGGTAAGCATCCTTTCAAGGCGCTCTAAACTCTAAAATTGCTCCTCTATTGAGGCATCTCGCGTCGCCTCATCTCTCTCATACCTCTCTTCAATAACATCATATTGACGACCACGTACTCTTTGTCGTGGCATGGTCAGAATCAAACCTATGCTCTGATAACAATTGATACAGGGAAGCGCATCGGAAAGACAAGCAAATAACAAGATCGAACCACGAACAAATTCGAATAAGAGATACTCTCTTTACAAACGAATAGTATTAAGAAAACTCAAGATTTTTATTAATCAAATGTAAACTTCAACTCCTCTTACCTGAGGCTTACAACTTTATTTATAATTAACCTACTTCTTGTAGAACAAGAAACTAATAAAATAGAAAATACTTAGAATAGGAAAAATGCATCAAATTAAATTAAGAACCTAAATAAATCTTTACTATTCTATACTAAATTAAAGATGCCTAATTAAATATTAATTCTAAAATATAAAATAAAAATATATAATATTTTTAAATCTCAATCTCCATCAATTTCACACATGTATTTGTATCTCTCATAATGAATCACTTCAGGTTGGAAGATGTGTACTGGATTTCATTACTAATGGAACTACAATCCAACTTCCTAGGGAGGATAATTGGCATAAATTAGTTATATAGGGATTTGAGGTGGCCGCTGTGTGAGGTGCACAACAGTTATTGTTGTGCAGTTAAATGGGTCTATTTTGGGGTCCATTTTAATAATTTGAATCGTTCACATTTTAGAATATATCAGGTAGAACATACTTGCAAAAAATCAAGTTAATCGAATATCGTTTACCCATTCATCCACTCACATTTGTATCTACAGAAATAAACAACAATTGTGATTTAAAGTATTAAAATGAATACAAATGTGAGTGGATGAAAAGGTAAATGATATCCGATTAACTTGATTTTTTGCAAGTATATTTTACTTGATGTATTCTAAAATATGAACGGTTCAGATTATCAAAATAAATCCTGAAATAGGCCCATTTAATGTGTACTCTCACACAACAGCCACCCCAAATTGGTTATTACTAGTGGACTTCCCATAAGTTGATCTTCGTGTGTATCAAGACTATTTAGGCATTGGATGGATTGAGTGTTTCTTCTTCTTTTTTTTTTTTTTATCAGCAAAAAATGAACCTTTATTGATGAAAAATCATCAAGAGATGAGATTACATCAAATAAAGGAGAGTAAGAGCAAGCATCATAGCAAACTAAACCAATCCCAACTAGATTGGCACCGAGAAAAGAGCTCAATCATTTACAAGCTTAACCCCAGAAATTTGGTGAGGAACCAAACCCAACAAGAAACAAACAAGAGGAATAAACAAGACAACATGGATTGAGTGTTTCTTGACATGATATAAAAGTGAGGTGGGTTGGATGTATCTTGTGCAATGTATAGCTCCATGAATTTTATTTAGAATATATATAAAAATTACAAATCTAGTAAAATAGACTTTTCTTCAAGTCACAAATAAAATAGAATTTTAATATATTGCTACCATTGGTTAAAAAAAGAGAGTACAAACTAGAACTATTACATAAAGGAGAAATAACCATTCAGAGGTAGTTTGGAATTATTATTATTATCTTTTTTTTTTTATTTTTTATAAATGAGTGATAAAGTTTATAAATTTTAATAATTAAAATGATAAATTTTTTCACTATATTGTAATTATTTTAAGAAGGTACAACTGAGGTGTAATTTCCACTTACGTAAATATATATTGACTTTAATGGCGTAAATATCAATATATTAACCTGATTTCTCTTAAAAGACTTTTCTTGTGTGGGATTATCACCAATAGGTTCTAGTGTAAGAGATGAATATCATGCTGTAATTGAATTTCTTTTCTAATATTTGTCCACAATGGCAGGACCAAAAATAAAATAAAATATGTGCATTTCAGTATGTACAATAACAGATCTGCAGTCGTACGCTAAGTAATGCAGCATTTTGTAAAATTACAAATAACACCCGTGACCTTCACATACAATTCTATTCCATATCAGAAATTCCTACTACTACGACTAATATGTATCACTATGTAAAATTACAAAGTTACAGAAAGGCACTTACCTGATTTCAAAACTTGATGGAGTAACAAAGAAACAAAGAATTTGAATCAATTAGGCCTAACTTAGGTAGTCACCATGTCTTTCTCAGGGTTTAGTCCCTAGGAGGAGGTCATGGATGTTACTCTCCTTAGGGGAAGTTGAATTAAGAGAGCAAGTACTTGGTATTTTGCAAAGAGTGGAGAGGCTAAAAGAAACAAAGAATCTGTGAATTAAAACAAATTTAACCCATTTTTTGTTCTCTTTAAAGAGTTAGTGGATTATTAATTGGACTTTCAATTGAGTGGAAAGGATGTTCCATGGAATAGAGTGGAGTGGATGTTCGATGGAATAGAATAAGATGTTCAAAATTGGATAACAAAGATAATTTAACTCAATTATTTTGTTATTAAAGCAGAAAAATATTTTAGGAATTCAATTACATATCCTTCTTAAAGGTAGTGTCAACTCTCTGATTGTGTGCCTATCTCATCATAAGAAGACACATAACCACTTTAGTTGAAAAATATGAAAAAATAGTAAAAAAGTGATCATGTGTTCATCTACTATTGAATTAATAATCCAACAAAATATATAATCCCATGTTTGGTTTAGAAAATTGTGATGTGGACTAATAGTATCCTTCATATGGAAGACTTGAATCCCAAAGAGGGGTTGTGACAAAATGAAAGACTAAAGCCATGCTCGGATGATTAGTTAATTGCAATTTTTTTTCTCTCTTCATAGTATCAGCAAAAGCTCTTTTATTGATGTAAAACATACATGGAGTAGAATAAGTTACATCAAAACAAAGAGCAATATTATAATCCCAGACAAAAACTCAAAAAATACCCAAAATTCAACATCAATAGTATTGATTTACTTAAGGTATGGGCTGCTAGTTGTCTGCTAGTTGTATGGGCAAGATGGGTTCTGAAGGCAAGATGGTCTGCTAGTTGTATGGGCTTTAATGCTGGGTTCTGGTTGTATGGGCTGTATTGCAAGTATCCTGGTTGTCCGGGCTGAAGGCAAGGTGGTGTGCTAGTTGATTGGGCTGTAAAGTGCTGTTTTGCTGGTTGTAGGTGGCCTTGTGGTGAAGTTGTTTGGCTGGGTGTGCTGTTTTTTAGTTTGTTTTCTTTCTGGTTTTTGTGTTTTTTTCTTCTGCTTCTTTTGTTCTCTTTTTGTTGGTTTCTCACCAACTGGCGCTTGGAGCTTTGTGCTAGCTCCAAACTCTTCTTTATTGATGTAGTCTATCTTTTTTGGTTGCTTTCATCAATAAAGATTTTTTTTGCCGATCAAAAACAAAGGTATGGACTTAAAACACCATCTTCAAATCTCAATCAAAGATTTGATATCTTTATTTTTATTTTTATTTTTCAGGATCCCTTTTTTCCGACCATAGAATTACGACAAAACAAAATAGTCAAAGTAA